AAACATGGGTATGCATGTATCTACTTGGATGTCATTTATGGTCTCTTTAGGGTATATTCCCAGTAGTGGAATTGCTGGGTCAAATGGTATCTCTACTTGCAACTTTTTGAGAAAGCGCCACATCACTTTTCACAGTGGTTGCACCATTTTACACTCCCACCAACAGTGAATAAAGGTTCCAGTCTCTCCACAACCTCGCCAGCATTTGTTGCTTGCCGTTCTGTTAAATTTTGCTAGTCTTACTGGAGTGAGATATCTCATGGTTGTCTTGAATAGATGAGTTTTTTTAAAAAAACAAAACAAAAAACTCTTCTCCTTGTGGAAACAACCTTGTCTAGTTTTATCATGCTTGAAGATTGTTAATAGATGAGTTTAAAAGAAAAATAATAAATTGCGTAAGCTTGTCTAGGCAAGAGTATGTATTTACCCAGGAACCTCTTAGAACCTGGGCTGTGCTTGATGGTGGGCAGTGGGAAGAAAACGAATTGAGCTACAAAGTAATAGCCGTGGTTGCTTTGTTGTAGGCCCGTGTGTTTAATGAAACTCCTATCAACCCACGGAAATGTGCCCACATCCTCACCAAGATCCTTTATCTCATAAACCAGGTAATACAAGGTGGAGAAACTGGTCCTGGGGGAGTTTGAGGGTTCTAGACAGGTGAGTTACGTGATTTAACAGCTTTCATGTGGTTACAGACATGGACACAGCTTTGCCTCCTCTGGATGCTCAGTGTGTTGCCTTTGATGGAACTTCTTTAGAGTTTGAGATGGTCTGGGGTGATCAAGCAGGAAGAGACATCGATCCCCTTTGTCCCAGGCTGAGGTTTCTTGTTTACCACAGGGGGAACACCTGGGGACCACGGAAGCAACCGAGGCCTTCTTTGCCATGACCAAGCTCTTTCAGTCCAATGATGTAAGTGCCCTGACCCCAGTTAGCCATTAGGGGGACAGCTTGATCCCAGGGAAGCCAGTGCCCCCATCCCAGCAGATGAGATTTCCTAATCCATGCTGAGCCAGGGGAGATAGAGCTTTTTCTGTCTCTTTCACAGCCCATCCTTCGTCGGATGTGCTATCTGACTATTAAGGAAATGTCCTGCATTGCAGAGGATGTCATCATTGTCACCAGCAGGCAAGTCTTTGAGCGCAGAGGTTGGCTCCACTGATGGCTCCATGGACACAAGCCATTTTTCCTCTCGTGTCTACCACTCTTTTGATCAGTGGTAGATTTTAGGTTGCCATAGTTGCCAATTCTTTTTCTGTCTCCTACATTTCTGTCATTTACTGCTACCACCCATCAGGGAATGTTTCCCTCTTAATTCTCTCAACTTAGATTCAAAGCCTTCTTTTCTTTTGGTTTGTTATAGTGAACGAGTACCATAACTTTAACAAGGATTTTAGTGAGAACACTGTAAAAATAAGCATAGAGAAAAAAAAATAGGCATAGAAAAAGCAAGCTACATACAGATGAGCTTGCTTGTTAAACACTAGATTCTACTTTTGGCTGAATCATTAGCCGACAGATGTGAAATTAAGTAAAACTTTTCCCTTAAAACTTGAATCACAAAAAAAGAAACAACAAAAAACACCAAACTTGAGTCACACTCTTCTGATTTCCTCTTGCCCTTGTTTCGTTTTCTTTTCCTCCCTAGGGACGTAAGTGTTAAAGGGGATTCAGTATAGGTTAATTTAGAAAATGTTTACTCTCAGTCTGCAATGAAAGACAGGCAATTGAGGTTGGATGTAATGTATTTAATCATAGGAAGTGTGACTAAAAACACCCAACTTGAATTTGGATCAGAAAATAGTACCTGGATGAACTGCCCAAGTGGAATCCTGAAGGATGAGAATAAACTAAGAGTATAACTTTGAAATGAGGGGTGAAGGATGTTCCATACAGAGATCTGAAGGGAGAGCACAGAGGCCACTTAGAGAACTTATACACTGGAGAGTAATATGTGATGTTCATGGCAGTAGAAAGCCATAGAAATGTTTTGATAAGATCAAAACAGTGACCTGGTCAGTACTGAGTTTTGTATAACTCTTTTAGGCTGCTATGTGGAGTTACGCTTGGGAAGAGCAAGAATGGTTAGAGGAGACCATGGTAGTAATCTAGGCAGGTGTAGTAATGGGGCATTTGAGACATGGGAGAGAGCAAGCACTGGCAGGTGGTAGGCCTTGGGCTTAGCAGGCAGGTTCCCTGCATGTTGAAGAGTCCCTTCCTCCACAGCCTGACAAAAGACATGACGGGCAAGGAGGACAACTACCGGGGCCCCGCAGTGCGCGCCCTCTGCCAGATCACTGACGTGAGTTGCTGCTGTGGCCAAGCCACCTGCCCCTTCTCTGCTTCCCCACAACTCAGCTCAGGCTCTCGGTCTCACCCTGGCATGCATTTGGTTGACCCTCCTCTCCTGAGCAAAAAACCTTGAGCTGTGGTGTATTGAAACACATGGATATGAATACCCTCTTCTCCCAGCCTGACGCCTGTCCTCCTGAAAGCTGCTGGGATTGATAGGATGCTCTTGTGCCCCAACTCCTTGTCTTCACAGAGCACCATGCTGCAGGCCATTGAACGCTATATGAAACAGGCCATTGTGGACAAGGTGCCCAGTGTCTCCAGCTCTGCTCTGGTGTCTTCGCTGGTATGTACCTGCAACCAGAGCCCTGAGAGTTGGGTCAGAAAGAAAATCTCAGAACTTTTTTCATTAGAAAGAAGTGTCTTGTACCCCTAAGTCTGAAATTGTTGTTCTTGCCAGTGAAAAGATTAAGGGAGAGTCTGTGTCAATGGAGGGGGCCTGGTGGGTTGGCCTTATTTCATCTTACGGGACTACAGGTGGAGCTTGGCTCTGGGAGGAAATCTCCTGTCATGACAAGGAGAAGGAGGTGAGTGCTGGCTTGAGTTTAGGGCCATAGTGAGGCCCTCCAGTATGAGGGTGACAGTGAGGCCTTAGGTGTGTCTGGGGAGACTAGAACTAGACTAGATGAGATGCTTAGCCCAGGAGGTTGATCTGGGTGGCATCCTGTCTGTGCTTTAATATATGTCCTGTTGTCCACAGCACCTGCTAAAGTGCAGCTTTGATGTGGTCAAGCGCTGGGTGAATGAGGCCCAGGAAGCGGCATCCAGTGATAATATCATGGTCCAGGTGAGATGCGGGGAGCTTATTTAAGTGGCTGCCAGTTAGCTGGTGCTGAAAGATTTGGATGTTTTGGTAACCAGCTGAGTATGTTTTAGAGTGTGTTATGCTTCAGCAGTGTGGCCAGTGTAGGGAGAGAGTCTCCTAGATTCAGGTCTTTGCCAGGCTTACTTTATTGGTAACACATGTAACTGTATTGGTGAGGTCTTCATCTATTTAATGCCTCATCAGTGCCCTAAGCCAGTATTTTTTTCTTCTCTCACTGAGTCTTGGTTTCTTTGTCTGTAAAATAATTTGTACCTTTCCAACTTGTAAGCATTAAATGAAACAACATATATAATATTTAATGCGTTTGATATATACAACATAGAACTCATCTGGTATATATCTGTAAGTGCTCCCTGCATGTTTATCTGTTCCTTTCTCTATTTGCTGATGCTTTTTTCAGGCCTCTCACAACTTAACCTGTGGTTCCTCACAACATTTCTCAGTTAGAGAACTGTCACGCATAGTGATACCTACAGCTATCATGTCCAAGCTCTTAAGTCAAAGAAACAGAAAAGAGCAGAGAAGACAGGAAATAACTGTACGATATCTTATCTCTTTAGAAAGAGAAAACCCTGAACAAGACAGACCAGCTTTGCCAGGACCAGACATGAGTCCTCGGCCTAATCACTGGGGTTAACCTTTGGGGTGTTGTTTGACATACACAATGTCTTGCATAGGCCATTATGACACATGATGGTGTCCAGGTCTTTAACTTTGGCTTTTCTCTTCCAGAAAGACATCAAGTCATCTCCTCTTTCCTTTATTTCTGTCATCACTCCCACAACTGTGTGCTTGGTGTCTGGGCCAGTGTTGAAACTGGGGACTCAAATGAGAACTATAGACACACTGATGCCCTATGTTCATTAAGCATTTGTGCCTGGTACTGTGTTAGTGTGTGGGGACTGCCGACCTGAGAACTGAGGTTGAGACCCAGAGAGAAGCGGTGACCCAGCCTTCACACCCTTGATCCCTGCTGCTGCCCTGTCTTTTAGTACCATGCGCTGGGGCTTCTGTACCACGTGCGCAAGAATGATCGCCTGGCCGTCAGTAAGATGATCAGCAAGTTCACTCGGCATGGCCTCAAGTCTCCCTTTGCCTACTGCATGATGATCCGGGTGGCCAGCAAGCAGCTAGAAGAGGAGGATGGCAGGTAACAGGCTCGTCTCTCCACAGGAGTGAGGGCCCTTCCATTTCATCATACCAGATAGCCCAGGCGCCTTCTCACTGCCCTGTAGTCCCCATGGTTTGGTTTGGTTTGGTTTTGTTTTTAGCCGTGACAGCCCTCTGTTTGACTTCATTGAGAACTGCCTACGCAACAAGCACGAGATGGTGGTGTATGAAGCTGCCTCAGCTATTGTCAACCTGCCCGGCTGCAGTGCCAAAGAATTAGCCCCAGCAGTATCAGGTACACACATCTTCCTTCAAACCATCCTTGCCTTTGAGTGACTGAGTCATGGCCCTGGAGGAGGGGGGAAAGAAGGAAAGTGCCCTCAGATAGGTCATAGTCTGGTATTCAGGAGAAGAATTAGTACTTCCTGCACACCTGCTGTTCATTGTGTTGAAGTCTTTCACATGCATCGTATCTCTGGTGGCCTAGTAATAAGAAGCTGCACTGCTATCCCAAAGGCATGCAGTTCGAGTCCATTAGCTTCTCTGCAGGAGGAAGATAGCATTCTCCTCCCAGGCAATTTACTGCCTCAGAAAACCCACTGGAGGGTCAGTTATGAGTCAGTTCCAACTTCATGGTGCCTAACAACAACATTGCTCTTGACTTGATTCCAACTCAGAGCATCCCTATAGAATTTCCCCAGAGAGTTTACAAGGCTGTAATTTTACCAAAAGGTGACTACTCTGTCTTTCTCCCATGGTGCAGTAAGTGGGTTTGAACCACTGGCCTTTTAGTTAGTAGTGGGATGCTTTCACTACTTCACCACAAGGTCTCCTTCGTTCCGTGGCTGAGGCCCTACCAAGTGGCAGAAGTGGTGTTGATACCTACTTTGGTGCCTGTCAGACTGGCTGGCCATGAGTGGAGGACTGTGAGAAGCTGAGTCAAGAAACCCCACAGGTGCTTGGCAAATGAGCCATTGAGTTCTCGTAACCAGACTAAGGCTTTTCTGCTCGTGGCTCTGGTGCCTACAGAGAGAGGAACTTGCTTTCTTGGTTAGAGAAAGACGTATCCACTGAGCAGGGGGTTTGTAGCTGACCACACTAGAGACCCCTGCATACCTTTGACACCCTTTCCTTGTGCCCCAGTGGGAGGTCTTCTCCGGTATAGTAAGCAGCCTGGCACATAACATCTGTCTCCCCACAGTGCTCCAGCTTTTCTGCAGCTCCCCTAAGGCTGCCCTCCGCTATGCTGCTGTCCGTACCCTCAATAAGGTAAGAATCCGGGAGTGGGAAGGATGGGAGCCATCGGCTTCTCCTGCAAGGTTAGACAGTGGTGGATGGCCAGGTAGAGATTTTTGCTAGACTGGGAGCTGCACTGTAAAAAGTGGAACTTGGTCACACTTTTCCTGGTGCCAAGATCATCTCTTCCAAAGGGTGTCCAACTTGGCCACACCTATCATGTCATATGACAAATTGGGGTCTTGTCCCCTTTGTCTTACTTTTCTCCCATACAGGTTGCCATGAAGCACCCATCAGCAGTGACAGCCTGTAATCTGGATCTGGAGAACCTTGTCACTGATTCAAATCGCAGCATTGCCACACTGGCCATCACCACGCTTCTCAAGACAGGCAGTGAGAGCAGTATTGACCGCCTCATGAAGCAGATATCCTCCTTTATGTCCGAGATCTCGGATGAGTTCAAGGTACTCAAGCACGCTTTTGGAGTAAGCGAGATGCTCTGTACCTGTTCTGTTTACCTGCTGCTTCCAAGCCTAGGGACTTGAGAGGCTGGTCAGGCTTGCGGATTCAGGAGAGGCTTGGCAGTTGAAATTGTACCTCTTCCTGCCTCTACACCCTTTATTTATACTGTTTATACTGCAACACTGGTTGTTTATGGTTAAGTCAGGGATCCATTTGGTAATTCTTTCAATGTTTGTTGAACACTTGTTTTACACAATTTGAGGAGAGCAGGGCATAGCAGTGAACAAGATAGTCACATGCCTCTTCTCGTCATGCTTTCTTTCTAGTGAGGGAATATAAGCAAGTAAACAAATGAGCTGACAAGATTGTTTCAGACATTGGTAATGTAGTGAAGGAAATAAAATAGAAATCCAGTGGAGGTTGCCAGGGAACAGGGAATATACCTTTCTAACATGGAGACTTTGAGCTAAAATTTGAATAAGGTAAGAGAGCCAGACCAGGCAAGAGCAGCAACAAGAGAGAGGAGCAGTGAGGGGCTTGGGAGCTTTGGGGAGAGCAACAGACAATGACTTCAGAGAGTAGATAAAGGCTAGATCATGTAGGGCCTTGTGAGTCAAGAAGTGTTTTGATTTTAAGGAAAGCAATGAGAAGGTTTTAGTTCTTTTTTTTTTTTAAATCATCCATTCTTGCTATTTATTGTCTTCTTTTTGGAACAAAAGGTAAAGAATTCAGAAATAATAACATCAAAGTGTGTGTTTCCAATTAAGATCAGAGTCCTGTTTTTAAAATAATTTCTTTACAATTAAGGAAGCAGCAGAAGACCCATTAACAACTGATTCTTTGGAGAAGTTGGCAGAATGACTGGATTTAGGGACTTCACCATGTTGAATTTACGAGGTGGAATTAAAAAGAAAAGCAGCCTTTTCCATTCAAAATCCTGGAGGTAAACTGTAGAGAAGTAATATCCAAATCTGAAGACAAGGTAATGTGGCTGGATAAAAGCAGCAGGAGTACCTGATACAGGAGACAACACAGAAATGCTTGTCAAGTCCTGAGTTCAGAATTTTGTTTTCTTTTTCGGATGAAGAAAATATAAAAAAGCACCTAAATGTCAAGGAAGATGTTCTTCTTGTGTTAAGGAAGCTAAGAGAATAAGAGGTTCTAGCAATCCAAATTACCTACATAATCCATTAAACGCAACTGACACCCCAGGGCCGGCCCAACCCCTCCGGCCCCAAGGCCGGTTCAGGAGGCTGCGCCTCACTCCGCCATTTTCGCTCCTTGGTTTTAGTTCTTTTAAAAACTATATTTTGGTATAATTCATAGACCCAAAGAACTAAGAAATACCGTTTTCCCTTCACTCAGTTATCCCTCAGTACCAGCATCCCACACAATATAGTATAATATAAAAACCAGGAAATTGGCATTGGCACAATCAAAAGAATTTGTCTGCAGTTATACATGGTAGTAGTGGAACATTGTCTGAGCTTGTACTGGGAGATGAGCCCCTCAGGTTGCAAGGTACTTTAAACACGACTTCAGAAGAGCATCCTCCTCAAAGTAGATTCTACCCTAATGGAGGTGGAGGAGACCTTTCACTCAACAAAGTACCTACATTTGTTGACATACCTGATGTAAAATGAGGAGAAACAGCCGCAAACATCCACTAATAATTGTATTTTGGAATATATGATATGTGAATCTAGGAAAGTTGAAGTTGTCAAGAATGAAATGGAACACATATAGCTAATCATCATAGGTCTTATTGTTAAGTGCCCTCGAGTTGTAGATGACTTATAGTGACCCTATGAACAAAAGACATGAGCACTATTCATAGAGTTTCTGGAGGCTGAGCTGAAAAGAACTTATATTGACTACTTTGAATCAGACAGACATATACTGAGAATGACAAAGAAAGTGGTCTTGCATACATTGTCAAGAAGAAATTTCAAGATCAGTCCTGAAATATAATGCTGTCAGTAAGAGAATAATATTCATATGCATATAAGGAACCTCTGTTAGTACAACTATTCAGATTTATACACCAGCCACTAGAGCTAAAGATAAAGAAATTGAAGGTTTCTATCCACTTGGCAATTTGAAATTAATCAAACAGTTAATCAAGATACATAATAATAATTGGTGACTGGAATACAAAAGTGAGATACAAAGGGTTGGTTGTTGGAAAATGCACAGCCTTGGTATCAGAAATAAAGCTGGAGATTGCATGATAGCATTTTGTACAATCAATGATTTATTCATTGCAGAAAACTTTTAAAATGATGACTCTGTATGTGGATCTTGCCTGATGGAATGACTACAAAGGAATAAAATTTGTTACATCTATGAAAAGAGATGGCCTGGAAGCCCAGTATCAGCAGTCAGAACAGACCAGTGACCAACTGTGGAGCAGACTATCATTTGCTCAAGGTCAAACTAAAGCTGAAGAAAACAAGTCCATAAGAGTCAGAATACAACCTTGAGTTTAAAAACCATTTTAAGGCTAGATGTGATGCTTTGGACACTAATTGTGAGTTTGTGGGATGACATCGAGGACATTAGACATGAAGAAAGAAGATGATCATTAAAAAGACGGGGAAAAAGGAACAGACCAAAATGGTTGTCAAAAGAGCTTCTGAAACTTGATCTCCAGTGTAGAGGATTCATGCGAAAGGAAGAAATAAAATAGCTGAACAGAATATTTCAAAGAGCAGTTCAAGAAGACAAAGCAGAGATTATCATAATATATACAAAGACTTGGAGTTACAAAACAACAACAACAACAAAAAAAAAAAACCCAGAAAGTGCACATCCTAACTTCCATCAAAATCAAGGTTTTCAACTCCTTCCTAGTCATACTCATCCCTTCTGCCAATCTGTTCTTAATTTCTATCATTACTTCATAACTGCTCTACAAATGGAATTAGACGATATGTCATTAGAGAGTTTTGACTAGGGCATTTGATAATATACTTAATTATAATGTAGCGTGATAAGCCTTGTAATTGGTGTATACAAAGGGACAAAATGCTTATGGCTTTTAAGAATGTTTTGTAGACGACATGACCCAGTGAGAATTGCATATCAAAAAGGTTCGTTGAGCACAAGGATAGAGGAGGGATGAGTGAGGAGACCGGAGGCAAGGAGGAATAAGAATAGCCTAAACTGGGCAAGCAGGAGTGGGAGAGAAGGGGTGGACTCGAGAACTCATCAAAGAATACACACAGTTAACAGAGCATGGGGTGATAGGTAAGGCTGTGAATGTCATTTAAAAAAAGGCGTTTTCTAGCTTGAGTTGCTGGTAGTTGACCAGTTTTTTGTTTTTTGGTGTTTTTTTTAAATTTTATTATTGTGTGTGTGTGTGTGTGTGTGTGTGTGTGTGTGTGTGTGTGTGTGTGTGTACTTCTAAAATTATGAGTTTGTGTGTTTTTAAAAAAATCAAACGAGTACAAAACCAAAAATAGAAACAAACAAATACACGAAGAAGAATAGCATAATTGAGGTTATTATTGTACATTATAGGTCTTTTTTCCACTTAATAATGTATTTTTCATGTCATTACAAACACATAATAGTAGTTTTAAAATGCTGTATCATAATTCACTTGACCATTCATTCCTTCACTGTTGAATTTAGAGTTCCAAATTTTCTGTTTTGTTCATCTACCTTAAATTTAAACATGAAATTTTTTAAACAATGCAAATTTTTTATATGTATTTCATAGTATTTCTTTAGGATAGATTCCTAAGAGAGTAACTGGGTCAAAGGTTATGCATGATTTTAAGAATTTTGGTTTGTTGTCAAATTGCTTCCTGGATAAAGTGTACCTGTTTTTGTCTGTGAGGAAGTCCTTCTGTACACGGAAATAGTTCTTTCATTTTCACCTCTACACTTGGATAGAACTGAGGTCAGGATCATTTTTGGTTCTGACTGTAGGACAGCAATTCCATGCCACTGGAGTTCAGACCATATGTCTGTCCATGGCCAGGGGTTTTTTAGAGTTTATGACTAGAGGGACAATCACTGTAGAATATAGCTGACATCCACCAGTGTGTCTGTCATTCTAGAGCTATGGGTGAGAATGGGCCTTGCCTATGTCAGAAATGAGACAGAGATGATCCTCGACCCCAGTAACTGCCTAGGGCTAAATGGACTTCAGAGAGCTGATTCCAAAGCGCTCCTTTTACTGTGGAGCTGAGTCTTAGATTCACCTGAAGACCCACAAGAGTAGGAGCTTAGTGAAGATCTGTTGGGTGAACAATCAGGGAAACTTTATGTAGATTTAGTCAAGGTGGGGACATGTATAATGTGTCAGGTTCCGGGAGGGGACAAGCTGAGGTGGGCATTGGGGTTCCAGTGAATGTCAGGCTGGAGGACACAGCTGAGAAAGGAGGAATGATCTACCGAGTCAGAAATGGCTGCTGAGTTTTGAGATGCTTGTAGTCTCTAGGGAGTGACCAGTATAAGAGGTAGGCCTTGAAGACTCTTCTATGCATTTCTCTAGACAAGGGATCCTTGGGGCACTGACTCCAGGCAAGCTTCAGAAGGACTGTCATCTCAACTGACACCCTAGAATGAGAAGAATTTTGGTAGATTGTTACTTAGACTCAGAGTTATAGGGACATGGGCTCTATTTACATTGAGAATGGGTGTCCATTTAGGTTGCTGTGTGTCCCTAGAACCTGACATGGTCTACCACTTAACAAGCAAGGGCTGTTGCATGTTGGAACAGGAGTTGAGCGATTGAGTTCAGAGTAGAGGCTGAGATGGCAAAAGCAGGGAGTCCCTCCTACAGAAATGTGGGCCTGACTTCCATTTCTCTCTTCAGCTTGAAGATCTGGAAATCACTGTAGCTGATCACATCCAAAAGGTCATGAAAATGAACTTTGAAGCAGCCTGGGATGAGGTGGGTGATGAATTTGAGAAGGAGGAAACTTTCACTTTGTCAACCATCAAGACACTTGAAGGTAAGGCCTGAGGACAGCATTCTGAACTGTTTATATTTCAAAACCCTTGGCTGTAGTGGAAGTTCTCCTTTCTCATCTCTAACACCCTTAATGATCCACAGCTATGTCTCAAGCACATACTTCAGGTGCTACTTGATTGAAAGCCCCTCAGTACAGGGTTAGGGATAAGGAAGGAGTGATGACACAAAGTGAGAAGACATGTTTATGATGCTGAGATTTCTCTCTACAGAGGCTGTGGGCAATATTGTGAAATTCTTGGGGATGCACCCATGTGAGAGGTCAGAAAAAGTGCCAGATAACAAGAACACCCACACATTGCTCCTCGCTGGTAAGCACCATTCTTGGGGTGAGGAGGGTGGGAAGGGCCTGGGCAGTTACAGCCTGGGTGCTCCTCGTCCGGCACCTCCCTCTGGCAGCACAGTGATTCAGAATTCACCGAGCTTAAAACAAGCAAGTGTGAGAAAACTGCTATGAAACGTCTTCCTCCCCTTCTTTCTGCTAGCCAGCCAGTTTCCCTCTCAGCAGGTACCCAGGTGTTACTGGGCAGACAATGCAGGTACATCCTTCCTATTATTTTATGAATTCCTTTTTTGAAAAACACAAGTGTTTATGTACAAAATTGAATATACATCGTTTTGTACTTTGCTTTTCACTTGAGTGGACATCTTCCCTCGGATACATAAAGCTTTCTCATTGTTCTTTATAACTTTTATTGTATGGATTGGCTGTTTATTGAATTAGTCTGCTACTGAACACTTAGACTGTTTCCAGTGTGTTATTATAAATAATGCTGTATAGTAAATACCCATATACACACATACATGTATGCACACTCAAGCTACCCATATATATTTTATTTTAAAGGTCTAAAAATAATATTTCTAAGTCAAAGTGATTTGCATTTCTCATTTGGATAAATAGTTCTAAATTGCTTTTTATAGAAATTTATAGAACTTATAGAAAATTTCTTGCCCCTGACACTCTTGTGGGCCCCTGACACTTTGTCAGCCTGGGTGGGAAATGGCATCTCAGTGTAGTGGTTATTTTTTAAGAAAAGGAACTAATTAACTGTTTAACTGTTGCCATTTCAACAGGGTTTCACAGGTAGCAATGAAGACTAGTTTTAATTTATATTTCTTGTGTTTTGAATGAAGTATCTTATAAATGTGGAAGAGCCATTTGTATTCCGTCTTTGGTAAATTGTTTTGTTTTCCCTTTGGAACATATTTAATTAGAAAGTTACAAAACATCGTGTTTTACTCACACAAATTCATATAAAAAAATATAATGGAATGCAAAGCAATAATGTTTACATACATATCTTTAATGTCTCAATACTACCTTTCTAACTTAAACTAGAAACCACTTTTCCATGGTTTAAGCCTTAGGACCATTGTTTTGGTCCTGAATGTGAGAGAAGAGTAGAGAGGCCAGTGCTAGGGGGTTTTGTATTTGAGTAATTCCAAATAGCTTGTTCCCCAAACTTTGATTTTAGCCAACCTAAGGGAAAGGTGATGAGAGATGGAGAGAGTGCTTTGGAAATAAGACCTGTATCTCCCAGGGGTAAATTGTTTTTAATTCATAAAATTTGCCCAATTTTCTGGATGGGTTGATCTGTTCAAATAGAAATGGGACTTTTAAAACTCATTTTATTATAGGAATTTTTAAACACACACAAATTATATATTTAATCCCATGTATTCATTTTCCAGCTTTAACAACTATTATTTTCCCCTTCTCGAGGTAAAGCAAATCTCAGAAAATATATCATTTTATATGTAAGTCCAGCTATAATTGTGATTATGTTAAGAGATAATGATCCAGGGAACTCTGGTGGCCTAGTGGCTAGAAGCTGCATTGCTATCCCAGAGACTCGTGGTTTAAATCCACCAGATGGTTGACTGGGGAAGGAGGGACAGTCTCCTCCCGTACCAGTCAGATCTGATTTGACGGTACACACATACAAAATAATAAAAGATAGAAAACTTAAAAAAAAAGAGATAATGATCCTTTGTCTAAAAAAAGGAGTACAGCTGTCAAACCTACAAGAGTTAAAAAGGGATGAACTACACCTCTCTCTGCAGTGTTTATAAACAGAGCTGGGAGGATGCTGTGCTTCATTGACCTGCTCCCAACTGACAGGCCCCACCATCTGCTTCTGGCCACAATGAGTCACCCCAGTCCCCTGGGTCTTGCAGACACCTGTTCTGTGGTTCTCTCATGGGCCTGTTCCCTTCATCTGCTAACGTGTGAGAGTCTCTGTGACCTCAGACACAAGTCTTTTACTTCAGTACTGCATGTGAGTCTTGGCAGAGACCTGAAATAGTATTATAATTCTACTTTGAAGTTACAGATACTTGATGCTCAGAGGTATGAAGTGTCTTGCTCAAAGCCTCACTCATCGATTTTAGCCCACCTTTTCTTGCTGCAAGCCCACCTATTTCAGTTGGTCATTTACTGCAAAATGCTACTCCAGCCTTATTTCCATAACCTCCTTTGTTACAAACCTGCACTTCTCTTGTTCCTTCTAGGTGTATTTCGGGGTGGTCATGACATCCTGGTACGTTCTCGGCTGCTGCTTTTGGATACAGTGACAATGCAAGTGACAGCCAGAAGCTCTGAAGAGCTGCCAGTAGACATCATCTTGGCATCTGTGGGCTAGGCCTATAGAATCCCTATTCCTACCCCTTTCCCCCAACACTACACAGAAGGTATGCCTTCCTTATGAACCCAGTGGAAATCCCATCTTCAGCCTCTGTATTAAAAATAATTAGGAAGCTTTGAGGATTTTTTTTTTATTTCCTCCCTTCCCCCAAAATTGTCAGGGAGTAATTTATTTTTGTAATAGGAGATGACTTGTTCTAGACTTGCTGCCCTGCCTACAGAGGGGGAGGATATTGCAATTGATATGTTTTAAATGAATAAAATGTTTGCACCTCTTGAACATCTTATCCCTATAAATAAATCAGCATGTGTTTATTGAATGGCTGCTGCTACTTGTACAGATGCATTCTTAGGGGTTCACGTTCCTCTCTGTAGTTTCCCTACCTTCAGCTCAAACTCACTGCAGCAAGTTTTCTGAGGTTTTAAACAGCACATGTAAAAGATACTTTTTGGTTATTGTACTTGGTGTGAGGTAGATCCTGTCCCACACATCGTCACCACCACAAGTGTAGGGACTGGACAGCATAGTAAAAGAACAAACAGGCATTGAGTGCAGACTCTTAATCCTGGACTGTCATCACCACTCACCTTTTATAGAATACAAAAGGAGGCGTTAACAACTGAGTGTTGTCAAGCCTCAGGTCAGAGGTAAATTTGTATGGAGAGAGTGATAGAACATTCTTTCTTTGACTCTTATTTGAAGAAATCCAGTATTGAGGTCTCAAAGAGCAGGCTCAGAGAATTGGGTTTTTATATGCAAACCAGATGTGCTTTGCAGTTTCAGTATTTGTGGGTGGGAGGGGACATGAGAGGATCTTGGACACTCTCATTCTGGTGCCCACGAGAGTTAGAGGTTCATTTGTGTGATTAATGTTTTCCTGACTGCTTCAGCTTCTGCTCTCCAAAAAGGACTGTGAGGCAGAGAAAACAGCTTAACTGGTTTTACTGCTACAATGACCTGGTACCCTAGAGCTCTGGTCCCCCCATACAGTCAAAGGAATGCACCTAGGAGACTGGGGGTGCACACAGTGCTTGAGGACCCACCTTTACCTGGTAACTGTGTTCCCACTAGGGAGGGATGGGTTAACTGGTTTCACCACTACAATGACCTGGTACCCTAGAGCTCTAGTTCCCCCATACAGTCAAGGGAACGTACCTGAGAGGCTGGGGGTGCACCCAGTGCTTGAGGACTGATCTCCACCTGGTTACTGTGTTCCCACTAAGGAGGGAATGGGCTGGCCCCACCTGAGAACAAAGGAACATGGAGAGCAGTGGAGCTTGAGACTCTTGAGGCCAACCGTAGTCTCCCTGGAACTTCCTTAAGACTAAGATCACCAGGGTTCTCCTGCTGTGATTTAGGGGAAGCCAATACTAAATATTTGTAATAAACTGAAAGCTAGTTCAGGAATGGGGGTCTTCAGTCGAGAACTGCTGGCCCCGTTTTTCATGCTCTCTGTTCACTCTCATTCCTGGCTATCTGTCTCATTAATAATTATAAAATTACTTTACCCTCGGTCTGCAACATTCTGGTGCCCGAACCTGGGACAAGGTGGTGGTTTCTATTTGGGTAAGGTGGTGGTCTCGCTTTCTCTTTTTTGAGCAGACACCAGGAACCAAAAAGGAATTCGCTCAGGGTAAGTGAAACTTTTTGGAAAATTAAAGGCAGGGTCATGAGAAAATCCTCACTAAAAGTTTCATGAGGTTTCTCATACCCCTTGACAAAGACAAGGGAAGAATTAGAAAAAATTCAGAGTAGAATTGATAAAAAGGAGTCATGTGGAACAGCCCATCCTCTGAAGCTCAATACATTACATTAATTAAAGAATTACTTAAGAGCTCAGGGGTAAAGGTAAGATAAAGGTCATTTTTGCTGTTGTTTCAGTATGTGCAGAAACACTGTCACTGATTTAAACCGGTAAATAAAGTGCAGTTAAATTTAAAAACTTGGCAAAATGTTGTGAAAGCTTTATGAAAAGCACATCAAAAAGAGAACAGACTCCTATTAATTTTTGGTCAGTAAGGGCTTTGAAAAGAATAGTAAAAAAGTCTGTGCAGGATTGTTCTAATAATAAAAAAAATTTGCAAAGAAAAATGGCTAAATCTTTGCACGAATCTGAATTAAATGATAAGGAGGTTAACGCTGAAGGTGAGAAACAGCCTTTGTCACCTTTCGAAAGAGTTTATCAAAAGGGAGATGTGATTCCTGCTTCGGTTTGGTTACTAAGTGATTTGATCACTTCGCTTTAAAACTATTACAGTCTGAGGAGAAGATGTCTGAAAAGTTAGAAGAAAAAACCTCTTCAGAAGAGATGGATAGTGATTCTGATACAATGGAGGATGAATTTCCTATACCGCCAGCTTCGGAAAAATTGAGCAATATAATCCAGGATGATAGTCCTTATGAGAAATTAAGTAAACAAGTTTTAGAACTTGCTAATAGACAAAATGGGCTCTCGAAATGAGATATATTGTTGTAATGTGCCGTCGAGTTGCTTGTGACTTATAGCAACCCTGTGTACAACAGCCCTAAACGCTGCCCTATCCTATGGCAATCGCACTGCCTCTGACACACCCATCCAGATTACCCCAGTCACTGAATCCACTTCATAGAGGGTCTTTCCCTCCTGCGCGGTCCCGCTACCCTCCCAAGCATGATGTCCCTCTCCAAGGACCTGTCCCTCCATGTCCAAAGTATGTCAGATGAAGCCCCAGAATCCTTGCCTCCAAGGAGCAGCCTGGTTTAACCCTCTCCATGATCAATCTGTTTGTTTTCTTGGCAGTCCATGGTACATTCAATACTCTTCTCTGGCACCACAGCTCAAAGGCATCAATTCTCCTTCTATCCTCCCTAGTCATTGTCCAACTCTCTGATGCATAACTAATGATTGCAAAGACCATGGCCTGTATC